CGTGGAGAGAACGGTAAAAAAAACAAAAAAAAAAAAAAAGTCGGCCCCTTGCTTCCTCTCTCGGGGCTGGCTCCGCAAGGGGCTTGGCATTCCTCCCTGTTTCCAGGGAACCACACTGAAAATTGTATTGCCGTGTGACACCTGTGGACAAACTGACACATGGCCACTTCCCGCCAAAAGACGCCCACGTTGCAATGAAATCCACGCAAACCTCTGAATGGTGCATTGCGCCGAAAAGTAGGGGCGGGGTTCGGAGGACTTCGCACGAGTGTTTAGGGGTCCCCAGATGGGGAGGTCACCCCGGGGTTTTTCGTAAAGGGCGGGTGGGGGGTGGCTCTCAATGCGACCGCCCTTGTCCTTGTAAGGGGCAGAAGGAGATTTGGTGACACACACCGAGCACAAGACCACACAGAGACGGAGCAGGCATCGGAGTGAGTGACACAGCCACAAGCCGAGGGACGCCACGGATTGTTCGCAAACACCAGGAACGGGAGACAGGTGTCCAACAGGTTCCCCCCCACCTGGAATCCCCAGAGGGAACCAAGCCCACCCGCCGCAGCACTTCCATCTGGGACTTCCAGCTCCAGAACCGGGATTCCCGTGGTTTTAAAGCCGCCTGAGTTACCACACGGCCTCCTCGGGGAACTCACGCAGCGGTAGGCAAATAAACGTAAAGGTCACTCTGAAGCCACGCAGCTGAGGACCGCCACCTGCTCCGCTGGAAGCCAGTCGGGGACACAAGGTGACAGCAAGCTCTCAGGAGCCCCCGAGTCCCCTCCAAGGCTGCGCCCACTAGGTAGGAATCATCCTTTCTCCACCCCCTTCCCCGAGCACGGACTCCAGACGCTGCGTGGTTTTGAAGCACAGCTCAGCGGCGTTCTCAGGGTGTGCAGTGTGCAGAGACATCCGGGGAGAGAAGGGTGCCAGCTACCCCTAGTGGCGGCAGACCCAGCCGCTTCCATCCCCGGCAGAGTTCCTCCCTCCCGGGAAACAGACCCGCGTTCAGCCGCGCGCGCCCTCCCTGGATCTGTATTTGAACAACAAGGTGGTCACTGGAAGGCAGCCCATCAAAACGTAAGCCACAGAGATTTTAAAATTAGCCCGAGCTCTGTGTGTGTGCGCGCGCGTGTGTGTCCCGGGTGTCGGGGGAAATAGAATTACGAATAAAAAAATCCTGCTTCCCGACCCGGAGAACCCCTCCTCAAGGTTAGAAGAGAAAGAAAACCCTGCTTTGTTCTTGAACAAGCATGAATTTTGTACGTAGCCACGTGCAGACGACCTGTCCTTTTTTTCACTGTCTCCGGACAAACAGTGAGGCTATCTGGCATCTTTACAGCCGGATGGCTGCAGGTGGGTGTTTGCAATTTGGAGCCTGCAGGTGGGTGTTTGCAATTTGGAGTCGTAGCCAGCTGAAGCTAAGCCCTTTCTCCACCAGGACACTGGCTCTTTTTCTTTCTTTCTTTCTTTCTTTCTTTCTTTCTTTCTTTCTTTCTTTCTTTCTTTCTTTCTTCCTTTCTTTCTTCCTTTCTTCCTTCCTTTCTTTCTTTCTTTCTTTCTTTCTTTCTTTCTTTCTTTCTTCCTTTCTTCCTTTCTTCCTTTCTTTCTTTCTTTTTCTTTCTCTTTCTTTCTCTCTTTCTCTTTCTTTCTTCACTCTTTTTCTCTCTCTCTTTCTTTCTTCTTTCTTTCCTTCCTTCCCTCCTTTCTTTTCTTTCTTTCTTTCTTCCTTCCTTTTCTTCCTTCCTTTCTTTTTCTTTCTCTTTCTTTCTTCTTTTTCTTTTTCTTTCTTTCCTTCCTTCCTTCCTTTTCTTTCTCTTTCTCTTTCTTTCTCTCTCTTTCTTTCTTCACTCTTTCTTTCTTTCTCTCTTTTTCTTTCTTCTTTCTTTTTCTCTCTCTCTTTCTTCTTTCTTTTTCTTTCTTTCCTTCCTTCCCTCCTTTCTTTTCTTTCTTTCTTTACTTCCTTTTCTTTTTCTTTCTCCCTCTTTTGCTTTCTTCTTTCTTTCTTTTTCTTTCTTTCCTTCCTTCCCTCCTTTCTTTTCTTTCTTTACTTCTTTCTTTCTTTCTTTCTTTCTTTCTTTCTTTCTTTCTTTCTTTCTTTCTTTCTTTCTTTCTTTCTTTCTTTCTTATCTTTCTTTCCTTGAGGATCACATTTCAGAGCAATGCCTCCAGGCACTGGAAGGAAGCTTCTGGAGGAGCCGGCAGCCCCTCCTGGGGGCTTGCTTTAAAAAGATTTGCATGCACTTGGAGAAAAGACTGAGCAAGAACTTGCTCTTGCCAGCTTGTTAACACAAAGGCTCAAGGAAAAGAAAATGTGGGGGCCGGGGAGGTGGTGAGAGGGACAGGTCTCCCCTAATTTCCAAACGGGGAGGATCCAACCCTCTCAGGTTGAGTCTCTATGTGCCCCTGGGCACGGGAAAATGGCTAAAAGATATCTGGGGGCTTTGGCGTTGTTTTGTCGAGACCAGCATTCACGGGGGGAAAGGAACAAGGTGGGGTGCCCGGGCACCCCAGCCTGCAGGTGGGGTTACCTGGGGTTAAAGCAGACAGAACCCGGTTCCATCAGCCTCCCCACAGCGCCACCTGCTGGCAGACGCGGGGACCACGCTTCCCCTAAGTGGTCCACACGTCGTCACCGTGGCAACAAGAGGGGTGCCCAAGGCTCTGGGCTGTCCTGATTCTGGAATGTACTGGGGGGAGCCCACCCGGCCCCTCACCAGGTCGCTATACCGGAACCAGCGCAATGGAAGCGACCCTTTAAGGCCAGGGGCTGGTTGTCCGACATCTTTCTTTGCACCTTGCAGAGAAGCCCTGCCGGGAGGTCCCCTGCCCTCAGGAGGGGAACCAACATCCCCAGTGTCCTGCCGTCCATGGGCCGGACAGAAGCCTGGGCCGGGCAGGGCCACACAGACGTGGGAGAGAGACACGTGTCCAGGCCTTTCACTGGTGGTATCAGGGAGGCTCTGACGTGGCCGTGTGTATTTCCAAGGTCTCCCAACCTCAGCCCTGCTGACATTTGGGGCTGGGGGCGTGGTGGGCAGCATCCCTGGGCTCCACCCACCAGCTGCCAGCAGCTGTGATGGCTCCAAATGGCTCCAGACATCACCCAGTGTCCCCTGGGGACACCATCGCCCTGGTTGAGACCCCTGGCTTAGGTGCGTCCAACAAGCCATATCACGGGGGGCTTCAGAACCCTCTCAGGTGTGGCCTCCTCCTGGTTCCACTCCTTGCACCTGGCACGAGCCCCATTCTTACAAGAGTTTCTTTCCTAACTTTACCTATAATGGTTTGAAATTGGACAGTCTCGTTGCTGAGAGCTCCTTCATGGAGACTCGAGAGATGTCCTCAATCCTTTCTTCCAGTGTAATCTGATTTTTAAAGGGTGTCGTGCAACTCTGCACATGTTTGCAAATCACCCTGTCCGTCCTCTGTGAAGGATTTCCTCTTAAACAGACCACACTTTGCAAATAAAAAAAAATAAACAAGGATTTTTTTTATACTTTAGCAAATTTAAAATTTGAAATCCATGCACCATTCTTTGCTATCTCTCTGTGTGTGAGTTTGCTAGGGCTGTCCTAACAAATGGTCCCAAATCAGATGGTTTACAACAAGAATCCATCCTCTCCCAGTCGGGCCGAGCTCCCTGCACGGGCTCCAGGGGAGGCTCCTTCCCGCCTCTCCCGGCTCCCGGGGGCTCCAGGCGTCCCTGGGCTTGTGGCCGCAGCATCACTCCCATCTCTGCCTCCATCCCCACATGGCTTCTCCTCCCTATTTGTGCATGTTTTTGTGTCTCCTCTCTCTTTTTTTTTTGAGACAGAGTCTCACTCTGTTGCCTGGGTTAGAGTGCCGTGGCGTCAGCCTCGCTCACAGCAACCTCCAACTCTTGGGCTCAAGCGATCCTCCTGCCTCAGCCTCCTGAGTAGCTGGGACTACAGGCATGTGCCACCATGCCCAGCTAACTTTTTTCCATATATTTTTAGTTGGTCAATTAATTTCCTTCTATTTTTAGTAGAGATGGGGTCTTGCTCTTGCTCAGGCTGGTCTCCAACTCCTGAGCTCAAAGGATCCTCCTGCCTCAGCCTCCCAGAGTGCTAGGATTACAGGCGTGAGCCACCTCGCCCTGCCCTCTTCTCCTCTTCCTAAAAGGACACCAGTCCTATTGGATTCAGGGCCCACCCTAATGGCTTCGTCTCAACTTGGGTCCCTCAGCAAAGACACTCCTTCCAAACAAAGGCCCCTTCGCAGGCTCTAGGGGGTCAGAACATGGACTTATCTTTTGTGGGACCGAATCCAACAACTTGCTTTCCACAATCGTTCCATTTTGCTTTTCATTCCGTCGACTTTAAGCTGAAAAGAAGCGATTAGACTGCGAGGAAAGCCAATACCAAAATAATTTTTTTTTTCTGAAAGGTGCCCAAGAGGAAGACAAGCAGTAGGAACCCTTACTGCCATCTGGAAAAGTCCCAGAGGGAAATGGGGGTGGGACTGGCAGGGGTGTGGTCCTGCCCTCCCCTGTAGCATCTTCCGATTTATTTATCTGTGTCCACAGAAGGGGTGAGGTCTAGTCAGACAGCGACAGCTTGGGCCGTGTCTCCGTGGCCACATGAAGAGACTAAGACCAGGGATCGGGACAGGAGAGACCAACAGGACTGTCCCAGCCTGATTTTTCTCACTGCTGCAGTGGCATCGCTACCAAGCCACAGAGCTCAAAGGACACAGCCGACAAGAGGGTGCCCACACTTCACAAGCACCTGTTGCTACCACGCCTACAGAACAAGGATGGCCAGACTATGTCCACAGTGGGAAGCCAAGCTGGACCCCACCCCAGTGGGCACAGCCCTGAGTGAACCTTGTGAAAAAATCCACAAAGTGAGGGGCAGAAACCTCTGGTCACTTAGCCATGTGAGCACCAAGAACAAGAAATGCAATGGAGACTCATCTCTTTATTATTATATTATTATTACTTTTGCATGTTGATGGCAGTTCCCCACCCACGATCCGTGAGGGGCGCTAATTCCTGGCCAGAATGGCATCATAAATGCCGCCCGTCTTCTTGAACTGGAAGCCGTGGAAGCCGGCAGAGGCGAGGAGGGCGCGGTACTGGCTGGGGGTGCGCTCCCGCCCTTCCGTCTGCACCAGCATGTTCAGCGAGTACAGCTGCGTGGTGAGGGGGCCGCGCCCGTCTTCATCCAGCAGGCTCTCCACCACCAGGAGGCCACCACCTGAGGGGGACTGCATTAGCCTGTCACACACGGACACGGTCCCCACGTCCCCATGGGCCTCCAGGAGGGGTGGACCTCACAGAACTGCAGGACATGTCCCCATCACACACACAGAGCTGTGCCCACATTCCCATGGACCTCCAGGAGGGGTGGACCTCACAGAACTGCAGGACATGTCCCCATCACACACACAGAGCTGTGTCCACGTCCCCATGGACCTCCAGGAGGGATGGGCCTCACAGGACAGCAGGGCCCTGTCCCCATCACACACACAGTCCCCATCACACACACAGAGCTGTGCCCACGTCCCCATGGGCCTCAAGGAGGGATGGACCTCACAGGACAGCAGGACATGTCCCCATCACACACACAGAGCTGTGCCCACGTCCCCATGGACCTCCAGGAGGGATGGACCTCACAGGATGACAGAGCATTGTCCCATCACACAACAGAGCTGTGCCCACATCCCCATGGGCCTCAAGGAGGGATGGGCCTCACAGGACAGCAGGACATGTCCCCATCACACACACAGAGCTGTGCCCACATCCCCATGGACCTCCAGGAGGGATGGACCTCACAGGACAGCAGGACATGTCCCCATCACACACACAGAGCTGTGCCCACATCCCCATGGACCTCCAGGAGGGAGAGAGATCCATGGGGCCAGACGTGGGCAAGCTCTGTTGTGTGAGATGGACATGGGCCCTGGTGTCCTGTGAGGGTCCATCCCTCCTGGAGGCCATGGGGACGCGTTGGCCAGCTCTGTGTGTGTTGATGGTGGACAGGCCCTGCTGTCCTGTAAGGTCAACATCCTCGCTAGGAGGTCCAGGGGACGTGGACCACAGGCTCTGGTGTGTGGATGGACAGTGCTCTGTTCATCGCTGCTGAGGTTCCACCCCCCTTCCCTGGAGCATGGGACGTGGGCACAAGCTCTGTGTGGTTGATGGGGACATGTCCTGGCTCCTGTGAGGTCCAATCTCCGGACTGGAGGCTCCATGGGAGAGCATGGGGGCCACAGCCTGTGTGTGTATCGGGACATGTCCTGCGTTCCTGTAAGGTCCATCCCTCCTGGAGGCCATGGGCGTGGCACAGCTCTGTTGTGAGATGGGGGACAGGGCCTGCAGTCGCTGTGAGGTCCCATCCCTCCTGGAGGCCATGGGACGTGGGCACAGGCCTGTGTGTGTGATGGACAGGGGCCTGACTGTCCTGTGAGTCCCATCCTCCTGGACGCGGCCCATGGGCTGGGCAGCAGCTCTGTGGTGTAGATGGGTACAGTGCATCTGTTATCCTGGTGAGGTCCATGCCTCCTGGAGGTCCATGGGGACGTGGACACACTCTGTGTGTGGATGGGAATGGCCTGCTGTCCTGTGAGTCCATCCCCTCCGGAGCTCATGGGGACGTGGGCCACCAGAGCTCTGTGTGTGTGGATGGGGACAGGCCCTGCTGTCCTGTGGAGGTCATCCCTCCTGGAGGCCATGGGACCTGGGCACAACTTGTGTGTGGTGAGATGGGACATGTCCCTGCTGTCCTGGTGAGGTCCATCCCCTGCACTGGAGGTCCATGGGGACGATGGCACAGGCTCTGTGTGTGTGATGGGACAAGGGCCCTGCGTCCTGTGAGGTCCCATCCCTCCTGGTAGGCATGGGGACGTGCGCACACAGCTTCTGGTTGGCCCTGGAGGTGGGGGACAGGCCCCTTGCTGGTCCTGCTGAAGGGTCCATCACTCCTTGAGGTCGCGAGGGACGTGGACACGAGCTCTGTTGTGTGATGGCACAGATGCTCTGTCATCCTGAGTGAGAGGTTCCACTCTCTCTCTACTGGAGGTCCATGGGACGTGGGCAGCAGCTCTGTGTGTGTATGGGGACATGTCCTGCAGTTTCTGTCGAGGCCCATCCCTCCTGGAGGTCCATGGGGACCATGGGCACAGCTCTGGTGTGTGTGATGGGGGACATGTCGCCGGCCTCGTTGTAGTCCATCCACTGCGAGGTCATGGGACCATGGGGGCAGCTCGTTGAGACATTGGGACAGGGCCTGCTTCTGTGAGGTCCATCCTCCTGGAGGCCATTTGGGACGTGGGCACAGCTCTGTGGTATGGGGACATGTCTGCTGTACCTGTGAGTCCAATCCCTCCTGGAGTCCATTGAGGGACAGAGCACCCTGTGTTGGTGGGCAATGTCTGCAGTTCTTGTGAGTCCATTCCCTCCTTGAGGCCATGGGGAAATGAGGCAACAGCACCAGTGTTGTGGGGGGGGAAGGGGGGGGGAGGAGGGAGGAACAGGGCACTATACTATAACTGAGGGATAGCCATCCTCTGGAGGTCATGGAAATGGGCACACTCAGTTGTTAGAGGGAATGTCCTGCTGTCCTGGAGGTCCATCCTGGGCTTGAGCCCATGGGACGTGAACAAGCTCTGTGTGTGGTTGGATGGGGACATGTCCTGCTGTCCTGTGAGTCCATTCTTGAGGGCCCATTGGGCGTGGCACGCTACTGGATTGTGGGGGGCATGTTCTGCCTGATCCTAGGTGGGTCCATACCTCTGGAGCTCCATGGGGACTGACACAGTCTGTGTGTGTGATGGAGGACAGGCCTGTTAATCCAAATGTGGAGGTCCATCCCTCCTTGGAACATGCCTGCGTGGGCGCATACAAAAAGTGGTGTGAATGGGCTGTCTGGCAGTTCTGTGAGGAGGGGATCCATCCCTCCTGGCCTTGGGACGTGGGCACGCTTCTGTGTAGGTGATGGAAACCTGATATCTGGTAGGCCCATTCCCTCTTGGAGTCAATTAGTCTGTTGCCATCATGGATGGGATATAAAGAAGAAACCAAGACCTAGACTGTGTTTAGGGGGGGGGGACGAGATCTAACAATATAGCATATTAAGACGAGCCAGCACGCGGAACAAGCACATATGAGACCTAGCTAACTAAACTACACCTTGCATCCACTGGGCACGTGGGCACAGCTCTGGTGTGTGTGGATGGGCGCACAGGGCCATGACTGGTACCTTGTGAGTCCAATCCTCCT